TTTCCTTACTGCTTAATAGAACTCCATTGTGTAAATACACCACATTTTTGTTAACCACTCATCAGCTGAGGGGCACTTAGGTTGCTTCCATCTCTTAGCTATTGTGAAAAGAGCAGCAACAAACATGGCCGTACAAGTGTCTCTGCAATAGGATGAGTCTCTGGGTATATGCCAAGGAGTGGTATAACCGGGTCATATGGTAGTTTCATTTTTAGTTTTTTAAGAGTGCTCCACACTGTTTTCCATAGAGGCTGCACAAGTTTGCAATTCCACCAACAGCGAATGAACATCCCCCATTCTCCACATCCTCGCCAGCATTTGGAGTCATTTGTTCTTTTGATCCTAGCCAGTCTGATTGGGGTAAGGTGATACCTTAGGGTGGTTTTAATTTGCATTTCCCTAATTACTAACAATGTTTCTTAGTCATCTTTATTTCTTCCTTTGGGAACTCTTTGTTTAGATCTTTAGTCCATCTTTTAACTGGATCATTTGGTTTCTTGATTCTTTGTTTTTTTGAGTTCTTTATATATTCAGGATGTTAAATGTCTGTCAGATGTTTTTCCCATTCTGTGGGTTTTCTCTTCACTTTTTTGATTGTTTCTTTTGCTATACAGAAGCTTTTTAGTTTAATGAGGTCCCACTTGTTGATTGCTGACCTTAATTCCTGAGCAACTTCCGTCTGATTTAGAAAATATTTCCTAAACCTATATCCTGCAAGTTACTGTCAATATTTTCCTCTAATAGTTTCAGGGTTTCCAGTTTCACATTGAGATCTTTGATCCATTTGGAGTTGACCTTGAGCAAGGTGAAAGACAGGGGTTTAGTTTCATTCTTCTACAGGTGGAGGTTCAGTCTTGACAGTATCATTGTTGAAGATGCTGTCTTTCCTCCAGTGTGTGATCTTGGTGCCTTTGTCAGCTATCAGGTTGCTGAAATTTATGAACTCATGTTTGGGTCTTCTGTTTTGTTCCACTGATCTACAAGTCTGTTTTTGTGTCAATACCATGTTGTTTTTATGACTATAGCTCTGTAGTATAGTTTGTGATCTGGTATGGTAATCCCCCAAGAAATTCTCTTTGTGGTCAGGATTGCTTTGGCTATCTGGGGCCTTTTGTGCTTAAATTTTAAGTCTTTTTTTTATTTCTGTGAATAATGTCATAGG